AACGGTTTGTGCCACTAATGAACCGCCTATGCAATGTGAGTTTTCATTTTGCGATCTTTCTAACTATTATAATGTTTTTGACATAACACAACAAATATGGCCTAATTTCTGTATGGTTTTTAGACGTAGCTGTTGAGAAAAATACGAAGTACATAGTATGTAGTATACAAGTATGATATTCATGGTTTTCGAGAGAATGTTCTCCCGATATGGCCCCATATAAGATTATCCAAACCAATGAACGGAGAAGACTTCACAATAATGAAAAAATTATTTATTTTTAATATATAATATATATTAAACTATTAGTCTATTATTAGACTATNTAAGTATATATATATATTATGTATATAAAACAAATACTTTAATACTTACGAGATTTATAATCAAATTTACTCTACATTTATTATTACACCAACTGGTTGTCAAATACGTAAAACAAAAATACATTAGTTTTGTTTTAATTGTACATTTGCGTATATTATAAAATAAATCATACAGTCGCACAGTGTAAATCATATATTTTATTAAATAACGTTCAAATGTTACTTTTCTCTAGTTTTTTTAGCTTCGACAAAAATAAATATTATATTTGCATTTACAGAATATGTTACTTGAAATTTCGAAAATAACATTAATTTCCGTCAATATTTCCAATAAGTAACCGCCGTACGTCATAACTTATAGAACATACAATATTATTTTTATTTTTTTTTGTAAAAAAATTCTGAGCAAAGCTTAGAGCGTATTGATTTTACTATAAATTCAANCAAATCATACAGTCGCACAGTGTAAATCATATATTTTATTAAATAACGTTCAAATGTTACTTTTCTCTAGTTTGTTTAGCTTTGACAAAAATATTTTAATAACACTAAAATGTTGAAACATCACAGAACTACGTGACTAAAACAAATTATAGTGATATAACACTATAATACAGAGACGAACTAAGGGGAGGGGGGACGTTGTGGAAATATAATCTCTCCCAAAACATAAATTACCTAATATTTTAGATTTAAAATGTTACTTATAAGTTTAGCTGTACAAAAGTCAATGTTTTCCTCCATTCGTCCTTTTCAAAAAATCTAGAAGAAAATAACTTAAATAAATATTATCGGAACATAAAAACTAACGTAGAAGGTATTAATTTTACGCTTTGATAAAAAGAACACCATTACATTTGTTTAAGATTTTATTTTTGGGACGAAAACATTTTGAAAAATTAATTTGTTCGATCCTCCTGGCACGAACTTCTCCACGATTAACAATAAAATCGTAAACGGTAACTGAATTCGATTACGATCGGCGTGTATCGGCCCTTACACAACAGTATTTCGTGGTTATTATCGTATCCCGCAGTAAATAATCGGATCGTGAAAAATAAATGGGTACGTTCCGCAGACGTTTATTACCAATTCCGGAAAATATGGGCCGATCGCCTTTTCTCGATAGATCGATCGGGTACGGCCCGTCCTCGTTTTTAATCGAAAAAACCGGCTTTGAAACGGAGTTCACAATAATGAAAAATACGATAAAATATTATATCGCGTTTATCCGTCTCGAACCCGTAAGGTAGTGTCGGGAAAGAAATGCATTACGTTTTCGCGTTTCAGGTCGGACGTTTCAACCGATCGGAAACACGACAGCGACGTGATTGTACAAAGAAAAAAAAAAAATGTTTTCGAAATAATCATTTTAATGTTCCGCTGTGGGTACATAGAAGGCGACCGGTAGTTTTAAGCCGAATTTTCCGTTTTGTTTGCCGGACCTTAACGGTTTTTCCGTTCTATCTTTGGTGCATATAATGTCGGAAATTGCATTTATATTTAGTTGTCGACATTTTCGTAGATGAGTGTTTTAAATAATTTTTTTTTTTATTTCTACGCGATGAAACTATTGAATTTAAATTAAAAAAAGCCAATATTTATATATATATATATATACGTATTATTATAACGCACGTTTGGCCGATAGCCATATTTAAGATACCAATCGATTACTGGAATACGAAGGGCTGGGAAACCCCTAAGAATAGATCTATCTCAAATATACAGAATGATTCACTGAGCGTGTTTACCCTGTATACAACTGAATACTTCGGCCCATGACATAATTCCATCATATCCCACAGCTCGTTGTTGTATCTCTTTGACCAGATTATCGTTGATTAATTCATAATGGGTCCATGTATTTTCCTCCAGATTTGGTTTTCGGATGTTCTCGATCTTTTCTCAGTCTGACCGTCGGCCGATCTCGCATCTATACATGTAAATTGCTATTATAAATTATTATAACTGCGTACAATCTCATTTTCGTTTTTCTAGATAAAATTTCGGACCTTAAGAATTTCATCAATAATGCGTAACACGCTTTTCGTACTTTATTTATTCGATTACTCGTTTCTTTTCCCGGTCATTAGACAGTAGGTGCCGGGCAAATCCTAGAAACCTAGTTTTTTTTTTTAAACGTAAAAATACACAAAGATCCGCAAGGAAAATGCGGGACGTTTACCCACGCGTGTTACAAAACCGTTTTTTGTCCCCCCGTAAGTATTACGAAAATCGTCAGACAGTAAAAAACGCGGACCGTCGATCGCTATACGGTTGTTTGTTATTTTATCACGCGAAAATCCTATGCCGTCGACGATGACCACAAACACTTATTATTATTTTTTATGGTAAATTTATTGGATGGAAAAAAAAAAAGGAACACTCTAGCCCCGACTATGACGACTGATGCAGAAAGTCGGGATAGCAACACGCATGTCGATTACGAGGGGAGAGGGCAACTACGATTGTCGGTGCCGTTATTATACGTACATTTTGTCGTATATACCGCACCTGTATACACTTACATTCGAAATGCATTATGAACGACCGACTTTCGAGATCCTTTTTTTCCCCCGGTATACATCCGCGTATAATAATATGAATAATGTAACCGCCCGCGTGCCATCGCCTTTCGGAAAAAAATGTTTTATACAAAACTTCCTAAACGGCTCTCCGCCCACGGCGAGAAAAGGTTGACGTGTATTATAAACTCTTCGGTTCGAAATACCGCGTATCGGATGATAATTTAAAACAACACGGGCCCGCCGCATTCGAACGGACCTTTTTGGTTATGCGATCGTAACGAAAAATGTATTATTGGTTTCACTTAACAAGCGTACTTATCGAATGTACCAACTAAAACGTCGTGTATCTAAACATTTTATAAAACGAGACAATTATCGATATTGATAAAATAATTTTTTCCGAAAAATGATAGCTCTATAATTTGGGTTTTTTTATTTGACTCGTCGTAACACCATAAATTACGAAAATGACGGAAACGCCACTTGTATAAAAAAACGCGCAGTTTTAACTTATCTCGGCCAATAAAAGGTAACAACAATATGTCATCTGAGAACGAAAAGCTTCTATATATTTGTTTGTCTCAAAATCACTTTTTAATAGATTTTTGAATAAAAAATATTCCTATGCTAGACTTATATTGGTGTTTCTATCCCAATTCGGCATCGAGATACTGAAAATGAAATAAGTTCTAAACAGTGAATAAACAAATTATTTTCGTTTGTACAAGCAAAATAGAACCTTTTAAAAGTGAATTATTTTCTTAGAGAGAAAAAGTTCTATGTGTATCAACAACAATATTCATATATTTTCGAAATAAAAAGACGTTCTATCTCAAAACAGTAATTTTGAAAAGGTTTTCCCGAAAAAACCTTTTCAAAGTACAAAATTATTTTCTTTGACATTTTTATTATATTTATCAATACAAAATTACCGGTTTCATCCAAAGGATTCTAAAGTGTGCACCGATGTGTATGTAAGGGGGCAGCATGTAGGATTATTAGTTGGTCTAAAAATAAATGTAAAACTCAAATGATAATGGAAACAGCGACACAGATTACAATTCCGAGGACTGTGGTATTTTTTTTCTTAAAGAAAACTCTTTGGTTAGTAAAAGTATTATAAATAATTTACTTAATTTAAAAAATGATGTCTGGATTTCCAAAAGTTTCCCTCTAAAATTAAAAAAAAAACTGACCACGGGAATACATTACAATACTAGAAAATGCTGACGTTTCTTCATTTTATTTCGATTCACGGGTGAATGACATTTTAGAGCCGGAAGAAAAATCTCGAAAATTCAATACAAGGAACATCGTAATATTTTCTTAAAATCTAAAAAATAAGAAAAAAACCAAGTCACCGCAATTCTAAATTTTTTATACAAGCATTTAGAATTCGCTGCAAACTTGTGAAAAATCAAGAAAAGTTATTTATTGTTATTTTCTAATAATACAAATTCATAAAAAAAAAAAAAAAAATAGGACGGACATGTTTCGCACGTGGTTGCAGCCCTTGTTGAAGGTGGGAAGTTGGGATGGTAGGTTACAGACGGGAATTTTATTTATATCTAAAAGCAACGATAAACCATTGCTTGATAAACCATCATTGCTGATGAACGAAAATTCAGAGCGGATTTTTTTGACGTGCGGTGCTATATTATAATATATTTTGCATAAGTGTTCAGAAAATAATGTCGTTCACCTTTTTTTTTTTTTTTTTTTAAAAAAACAATCGATTTAATTTTTTTTTTTTTTTTTTTAAAACACATCTCTAGCCCCTAGTGGTGCGTAGTAATTTGTACGCTTAACTCATATATATTTATTTTTATTTTTCATTTTAATCGTTGACGCCATTTAAAAAATTAAAAATGAAATATTAATAGTAAAAATATCCGGAAATAAAAGGGAGAGAAAATGCATTTATTTAATGAACCGGGTAATAAGTAATATTTATTGTTCTCCGTCCGACGCAAAAAGGCGTTAATAAGAAAAATTAATTGAACCATTTTTTGGAGTGCGGTTTTAATAATAATAATAGCCCTCGTTTCTTTGTTGTTTTTTTTAACAAAACAATCGATTTAATTTTTTTTTTTTTTTTTTTGAACAGACCTCGAGACGCAACGATTATCCACATTTGATTGGCAAAAGTGCGCTTTAAGTTACCTATACACATGTCGTTTACATTTTCCAACACTTAGGTGATATGATGATAATGCCGATGATGATAAAAATTACCAAAACAGAACACGCGCGTTAGTTTAGCGGAATAACATAAACACACATAGGTACTCGTGTAAAAAAAAAAATATATTTGACGTACCTTCATTCGAAAACCATTTTCAGTGACCCAATTTACTCCGTCGTAGCTATAGAAAATATTAACGTCAAACTCGAACACAATAATTATTATTAACTATAAATATTATCATTCGAATTCATTGAAAATGTCTATCTCAAACCCTCCTTGAAAATATCTTTGTTTTAGATTCCGAACAATGCGAGAAACATATTGGTTTTACTAAAAGTTTCTTTTTAATTTGTTTTATATTCTTTGGGTAAGTAAACAACTGTTCTACATGAAATCTTGCGCCATTTAAAAACTTTGCGAAAACTCACCACTTTCTTGTAGGTGGCATTTTTATCTAGTTTGTACATTGAGGAGATCGTTTTAAATCCTAAGTTTAGTGAAGAATGTATTAGTTTTACAAAGATGTTTATTATTATTTTTTTTTTTTTGTTTTTCGTTTATTCATAAAACATTTGCATAAGTTTAAAAATAAATATTCCATAATATTTCTGATAAAGTACTCAGATGAATTGATGCGTCACATTAAATTTTTTACACAATTTTATTCGATTTTAACGCTCAAACGCTAAAGAACATCAAAACGATAAGTGATATGACAATATGAAATATCCAATGTATTTCAAATCGTTGTTCAGGAAATGACACTATATAATTCAAATTTTAACAATACTCATAATTATATATATGTATGATTTTACACGCATACGTCATAGTAAAACCAATAAATTTCTCGCTGCTCTTGCAGAATCTAAAAGCATCAACGTGTTTTTTAACGAAGCAGGTACTCGTAAATAAACGCGTTAAAAAATATTCGATTTTAAAACAATATCTGTATTTTGTACTGAAATAATGCTTTTAAAAAGTATTCGTATACATATTTCAATAGTCTGTTTATACCGTGTTTAATTGTTAAAAAAAAAATATATAATAATAATAATTCACGAACGGATAATATTCGAGCCACGGGCAAATGATTTTTGTTAAAAAGGTTTTTTTTTTTCCACTTTTTTTTAATACCTCTTCCACATACCTATTATTATTATTCTAAAGTCGTGTACGTAAATTACTCACCTGAATTAAATATTAAAATCGTATCTGGATATAGTGGTGTGCAGCGGGACGCCGGGACGCGGCAAAGCTTCGGCGGCTTTTGGTGCAGCGCCGCTGTTTTCCGGAATGCCGCGCGCGATAGCCACCACCGCCGCCGCCCTCTTGCTATAAAGGGATAAAACGAATAATTTAATTCCGCGGTATAGTCCAAATCAAAATTATATTATTTTAACAACTATCCGCTCACGAGGGCATCAAATAATAATAATAATAATAATAATAATAACACGCCGTTCGTTATGATATTATTATTACTGTTAATCTCGATAAATATCGGCAGCAATGGCGGCGTCGACCCGACGTTTACGCGAATAAACTCGCCCGGAATCCGCTCGGGGCTTAGAGCTATAACCGCGTATCGTTTTATTCTACACGGCCGAAAAATATTATGCAAAACCGGTAAATACCGCCAGCGGCATCACGCCTACGCGCCCGCGGGTGTACGATAATATTATTGTATCTCGAAAGACCGATGCAATAAAAATAATACCGCACAAATATTACGAACGTGCGAGTTTATAAACATAATGTTCAGTATATTATAATAATATAGTGTTTGCGTATTACCCATGTAAAACGTACATAATTAAAACGTTCAGAACGCTAAACGTTATCATACATATACAGGGCGTTTACATCACGGATCGATGATTTACCCGGGGAAATTAATAATATAGAGAAACAGATAAAGTCGCGGAGTCCTGGGGATTTATATGTACTTAAAATCCGCAAAAAGCGCTTAAATCGTCAAAAAAAACCTCTTTAAAATATTAAAAAAAACAAAAGTGGTAAAGGGGTTTTAAAGTCCCCACTCTAACGGTTCTAACCCTGTTGAATACAATTTTCCACCACAAAACATTTTTTTTTTTTTTTTTTTTTTTATAACGCGTACAAATATATTTGAAGAAAATTACTTTGTAATAATTGTTTTTTTAGTGTTAAAAGTTATTTTTAATAAGTTAGAAAAAATATATAGGGTAACTTTTGAACCCCTCTACCATAATTGCTCTTTTGAATATTTTTAAGTAATTTTTTAGAGCTTACATAACGTTTTTAAGCACTATTTTTGAATTTTAAGTACATATAAATCCGTTCCCTAGTCATACGTATGGAATTGAAAAGAGCCCATTGGTTCGACCGCAAAATGTAAACCGAACACAAAACCTTTGCCTTTGTAATATTTGTTTGTATTATAATGTTATAAATATCTAACTATGTCGCTTACGTCATCTTCTTTATTTGTGATTCGTTCTGATTTATCTAACTACTATGTTTAATGTTTACTATTACACTGTTGTTTACGTCTTGTTTCTGTAAAACTATTATGTACGGTGTTTGATAATTATTAAAAACATGACCAAGACGTGATGGTCCAGGCAACGATTAAAAGATAAGATAGCCAGAGACTTGGCGCTGTTGTGAGTAGAAAGGAAAGGAAGGTTTGGTTTGCAGTATAATTGATCCGAACTGGCCACAAAAAGTCAAACCAGAAGAAAATAACACTAATATTAGATTTGCCGTTTATTATGCGAGTTATAATAATTAACAGTGAAGACAGGAGGAATAAAAAAGGATTATAAATGTATCATCTAAAAATGGATATGAAGTTTACGGACAATAACCATAGCAGTAGGCAGAATTATTTCTCCGGTCTANATAGCGTTATGCGTATCAAAATGGATAGAAAAATAATCATTTTTCGAATCTGTGTTTGAAATTGAATGGTTTTATTTGAAAATCAAAAGTGTATACCCGTATTAGGTATAGTGAGTTTAGGCGAGTAAAAACTGAAAGTAGTAAAATAAAGGCTTCTAATGATCGAAAAAAATAAAATTATATAAATAATTTCACTAAAAATCATCCGATAAAACCGCTAGTTCGTGATAAATAAATCACTCTGTATACCATCGCTGCGTTTAATAATGTTAACAATAATAATATTCTCTACCGCAAACGGTTTCTGTCCGTTAGTCGGCCATAGATTAAATTTTAAGATATACACACCGTTGCAGACAGCCGATGCTAAAAATCATATAATCTCGCCGTTTTATAATACCTACTGTATTAATATAAATTAATGGTTATTAGGTTAAAAGGACGCCGCACTCGCATTTACCGACGAGCGAAATAGTTAAACTACGTTATTTGGTATTTAAAATGTAGCGTTTAGCGTTTGAATTACCGTTTGAACACCGATGTCCACGTTTAAAGGAAAGTCAATTATCGAGTGCACAGCGTAAATTTTTTCTTAACTTAGCAATTTTTTTCTTAAAACGTAATAATATTATTCGAAAAATATAATCATCATCTATGCATTTTAGATTCTGGGCGTAGCGAGAGAGGTTTTACTAAGATGTTTTTTTTTTCTTTCTTTCTTTCTTTCTTCTAGCTTGTGGACACGTTTTATTCCTACCAAACGTGTTCCGATTTTTACGTGTAGCAGCTTTTCTGAAAGCTCAAGCTATCTAGATTGTACTTAAAAAAGTTTTTTTCATTTTCAACGCTATTTTGTAAATAAAAGCACTTAAGTGGAGAAAAAAACGTAGGAAAACATACAATTTCAAGATTTCATTATTTTATAAAAAAAAAAAAACACGGACGATGTTTCCTACCAGAAAAAATGTTTTAATCGAAAAATCTCAAGATACTTTTTTTGACTTTTTGATTAACTTTCTTACGGTATGATCGCCAAAAAATTTGAGCCACTTTTGAGAAATTTTAATTTTTGGCAGTTTCTTTACTGTGATCGGTTATAAATATACGCAGATACTTGAAACTTGGTAATACAACTTATATTGGACTTATCTAAACGTAGTAAAATTTTCGAAATCATCGGATGACTTTTTTTTTTTTAATAAGCTTTTTGAAATCAAATTTAAACGAAAATCGCAAAAAAAATTAGGGCACTTGAAATTATGTGTTACCGAACTACGCTCGGAATCGTCTTTCGTCAAGTAATGGTTTATCGTTACCCTCAGATATAAATGAAATAACCTTATGTATCCTACCTTCCCAAATTCTCACTAACAGTGGTCGCTCCCATTTCCAGTATCAGCTCTTTTTTTTAATTTTTATTTAACGTTTAACTTAAATTTAAATTTAAATTTTAAAAATCATGGTTTTTTCATGTTACCTGTTAGTTGGACCGAGACCTGAGACATCTGAACTGTGAAGGCAGTCATACTTGAGTTAATCGTAAATTCTGTATTTCTAAACCAGATATTTTGTTCACTTAAGTGAAACAAACGAAAAGCCTTAAACATCGATTTTAGAGATAAAACACTTGTAATCAAAATATGTGTAGATGATAACATTTTAAAAAACATTCTCATCGGTGTTTTATGCTACTTAATTATTAAAAAAAAAGAACCTAATTACTGAGTGATGGTGTTTTTATATTAACATTAGAGCAACTTACAGAAAATCCCTAACGCGTTATATTTCCAGGTAATTATTAAGTGTTTAAACATTAATATTCACATAAAACAAAAAAATTAAAAAATCGACTGTTTCGTATATGAAATAGATATGAATAACTTTGAGAATATTTTGACAATTTCACCAGGTCGAAAAAATGATTATATAAGTGAAAACTCTTTTCTACGGTTATTTTTCATCGAATTTCAACAGAAACCTTGATTACGGACAAATTTCAGATTTCTCGACGTTTTTTCACCCGACTATCCTCTGTTATTAAGAAAAGAACAACATAAGTACATAAACGACTTCCTAAATACATCGACTAGTCAACATTTTCCACCAGAAACCGTCTCAGCTGATGTTAATGACGGGGCAAGATTTCTGGTCGAAAAGTTATTAAATTTTACGGACGGAAAATAAAGCGCATATCGTAGTAAAACGAATGTAATAATATGTGCCACGCTACCCTCGGAACCCGAAACTATACAGCGTAATGATTCAACGAGTAAAGACGTAATATACGAAATTAATAACGAATCGTTATAGCGAAAATCCGAAAGAAATATTGCACTGTTCGATAATTAACGTGAGTATCGGCGTTACGCGTCTTGTTAATTACCGAAATATTGTATGGAAAAAAAGAACAAAAAATTTACACGATTAAAACCGACTGTGCGGAACGATGATGGCGTGACTATGTAATGAATGACTAAAAAATTACTTACGCACATTTAAATAAATACACGTGGCGACACAACTATAGTTATTATTAAATTTAATTATAAAAACCACTTCGGGCTATATTACGTTCATCCGGAAACGGTTCTCGTTATACGAACGGTTCATTAGATAAAATGTCGGGTTTTGTATTACATTATATGCCGGGCCAACGTAAAGCGCAATAACAGCAAACGATTCATATTCCAAAACCGTCCAACGGAAGCACCACGAGCGAAAAAAAAAACATATAATTCTACGAGAAAATAAAAAGCGCCCCGTGTGCCGCGACGACGTTTCTCCCCCAACACCCCCCCCCTAACGACTTTTTCTCCGCAATAAAACGACTAAACGACGATTACTAAACGTCCGAAAATCCACGATGGTCCGGGGAGAAAAAACCCCCTACAATAGGTTTTCCCTGGGAATGGACCTAAATTTTCCTATTATTTAATATTATAAGTAATTTATTTTCATATAAGAGTTTTCGGTTGTATCCGGTTTTTGAGTTTTGGTATTTTTTTCCGGAGGGTAAAGGATAATTTATTAGATAAACAATATCGTGTGTTTACCCGCCAATACAGATTTATGTTTTAGTTTCTGAGCGTAGTTTTACTAAGATGTAAATTTTTTTTTTTATCGGAGAACATTTTTTCGGTTAACAAGATTGACCCGATTCCCACATTCCGTACGTACTTATAAATCTGCGGAGTTTTCACTAGATGATATTTTATAAGGGAAATATTTTGAATGTTTTCTAATACTTTTCCCGAAAAATTGAACTTTTGTTTTATTTGAAAAAAAAAATGTTCAGTTTGTGAGATATACCGCGAAATTCTATTCACTCGGTTTTACAGTACCGATTTTTTCACGAAGTACCTTACAAAAAATAAAACTATTACCAATAGTATTTTATTTACTTTTTAAAATATTCATCAGTTTGTCCCTAAGTCCTTTATTTAGTCTTTTCTCCTAGATTATTAGGTTATTAAAAATGTTTAAAATTATTCGAACGTTTGTACCTCAATAAATTAAAACAGATTTTTCAGCTAGTGGTACTTTATTTGGAAAAAAATTTCTAAAAAAAAAAAAAAATACTATACAAATAAATTTACAAAGGGGTGTATTTTATTATATATAAAAAAAAAAAAAAAGGTTCTGCGGGGATCTATTCTCCTCATCTTCTCATAACTACGCCACTGACACACACATGCAAACTTCCGCAATTATAATATTAGTAGAATGGGTGTTTGATATATTAATATTTACTAGTTTAATATTGTTTTAATATTTTTGTCTGTTATGTTAAAAATACATTTTTGTCTTCTCCGAAGAGAACAACTGTACCTTTGCTCCCTCCCCTTAAATACCGTCACTGGCCATTCGTTTACAATATTTCTATGAACAAATTAAAAACAAAAGGTCGATACATATAATACATCTCTATTTATATTATAAACACTGCGGGGTTTTTTCAGCGTTTTTTTTTTCTAAAGCGAGTAAACGTTAGGGTTGGTTTTCTTTTTTTCATTATCTTTTTAAACTTGTTGCGGAAGTTCCGTGCGGTTTTTTCGGATGTTCCTGAATTATTATAGCTCGCCGTAAACCTTTACGCGCTGACATTGTGTACATATTATATATATATTTTTTTTTTTCACCGTAACAATAATTAACGTTCTTCCCTCAAAGGCGGCTAAGCGAAAACAGACCAGGCTAACTACTCTCGCCGTGGAATGACTATACCACGGTTTTCGGGATGGCCGCATAATCGCTGTTACGAAAGTAAAAACAAGAAAACTTTTAACGATAACCGTTTCGCCGACACTTTGGTATACCTATATACGTATATACAGGTACTGCGGCACTGGAACAGAGCAACGCCAGTGTAGGTAGCACCAGAAAATATATTTTATACGGCGACGGGTCGAAATGGACGACGCGGCCCGGAGCCGTTCGGTAAAATAGGAAAACTTCTGAGGCTATAGAACGGCCGACCCGAATAAACGACCGTTCAAACGACAATTGTCATGTAATTATACGGCCCGTCTATAGAATTCCCCGTCGTCACACACGTCTTGTCTAAGGCACACGTTTTTCCGAAAAACCAACGCCGATCGAAGTAGAACGATCACAATATAATATACATCCGTACTTGATACGAACACTTTTTAAAAGAACAAAGTTTAAATAATATTTTTAAAAATTGGATCCGTTTCAAAGAGAGAATTTTTTTATAGTAATTAATAAAACACTTTTACTGGCATGACTATGAGAAAGAGCTGACGGCGATAGATCACCTCCGAGATTATTTTATTAATTTTATGCACTTATAATTACAAACATTTCCAATTAAAAACCGTTTCTAAATGGAGAAGAATTAACCATGGTTTTTTTTGTGGCCAAGATAACGCAGAAATCAACAAAACTAACACCTATATGTCGACATTCGTTGTAAGTTTTAAAAATATATAAAAAAAAAACTGTAGGAAATCCAGAAATATGTTTCAATAAAGTACCGCCTAGCAAGAATTCTATATCGTTTATGGTATTGCGTGAACCACTTGGAATATTTCACTCGCTATAAAAGTGTTTGAAAAAAAAAAAAAAAAAAAAACAAAAGTGCAATTTTTTGAAAAATGTGTTAATAATTTCATAAAATATTTCATTTAAAATACCATCAGTTGAAAAATTCGCATCTTTTACCAAGTATAATTTATTACGAAAGATTTTTTAGTAACAGAATTTAGTAATAGAAAAGTGTTTGCCATAAAACAAAAACGTATCCTAGTAAAATCTATACCTCGCTACACTCAGAATCTAAAACGTAGATTTGCATAGAGGGCCTCCATTCCCAATACAAAATCATAACTACGCCACTGACCTACACGCGCATTTCAACGGTCCGTAATGTTCGTGTAAAACCGTTCCCTGTACGATATTTAAATAGTAACGTAACATAATAGTCTGTAGGTATAATCTAATTTCCGGTGCATTTTCTCGTACGCATACCGGGCGAATGAAAAATAATTCTAAGTGTTTTTTTTTTTCTCCTTCGGATTAGATTACAATGCTACTACCCGATTTCGCTCCGGACGGTGTAATACTATACCATATGTATATCTCCGATCAATGTCCTACA